AGTCAGCTCCCCTTTATCTAGGACTACGCCATCATTTGTTTCGACTTTGCGTCGATTCCTTCTGCGCATCCGACATTTTGGTCGTGCAGCCAATGAGAGAAAAGTTGTATATGGGGTATGTGTAGTTTGATATTAGGCTTGTTTTCTGTTGCTGCACTGGTGAACTAGTGCAATAAGTTAGAGTAGGACAAGTATATTTTTTCTCATTCTAGCTTACTGCACTAGTTCACCAGTGCAGCAATAGAAAACAAGCCTCTAGGCCGGTATTCATAGTCGGATCTTATATTCAAGACCGTCTTGAATTTATCTAAAGATGCTGTATGGAACATTTGATTGGTTGCGGAGTATCTAGAGATGATCTTAAGACGGTCTTGAATATAAGATCTGACTATGAATACCGGTCCTAGAGTCTCTGTAGTAAGTCCCAGTCTACAATAGAGATTTAAGCCCTAAGCCTTAAGAAATTGACTAATCACAGTCGCGCATTCTACTCATACTTGACCGGGATTGGCCAATTTCTTAAAGCTTAGAGCTTAAATCATCTATTGTAGACTGGGACTAAGAGTCTGGCAAGAAATATTCTCCGTTTGATTGGTTTGACGCAAAATGGCGGAACCAATAAAGCCTATCACACATTGCCAGGCAACAGGCAATAGGAATAGGGAATAGAATTTCTGACGCGTTGGATTGGTTGGAAGAAAATTTCCGACGAATCCAACGCGTCGAAAATTCTATTCCCTATTCCTATTGCCTGTTGCTTGGCATTGTGTAAAGGCCTTCACACATAAAATTCCATAAGGACGTAAAACGCAAGCATAAGAAAATCGACCAATCACAGTCGAGAACGTAAGGCAATGACGCAAGCAGTAGCAAATCCAACCTGTTGATTTTCTTACGCTTACGTTTTACCTCCTTACGGAATTATATGTCCGCAAACTGCAAGTTTAATAATATTTTTAGCACTTCAATTTTTATATTCAATTGCACACAACACACAACAGCAATTCAATATTCAAGGGAAAGATTCATGATATATTAATATCCTCGATGTGAGAATTTATTATATTCTTATATTTCTTAAGCGACTTTGTAAATGCATATTATAACCTGAAAACCTTGTGAAACGGTTTTCTCATTAAGTACGATAGAAATACTAAAAATATTATTAAAATTGTTTGTGCACTTATCTTTACAAACTATATATTGCGTTATTTTATAGTAATATTGCAAATAAACGAAAGATTACCTTAGATTAAAATCGCGTGTTGGTATTATCACCTATCATCACCATGAAACGAACAGGAAAGAAAGCGACATCAGCGCTATTCCTATGTTCACGGCGCTATTGGAAATGACGCATACAATATGGCGTATAGAGACACATCCATTAATGGGGGGGAGGGGGTCCAATTTCTGAACTATGAGTACATTCAAAAATGCCCATTTTGAGATATTCAAAATGTGTCCACAAATGGACATCTTATGGATGTTTTATAAAGTTCACGGATATTCCGACATGAAATGGACACGAAACGGATATCCATGGGATATTTATAGGTGCTGTCTGGGTTGAAATGCGTAAAATACATTTTATGATTCATTGTGGGATACAGTCAGTAATTTTTAAATGATTTTCATTTTAAGTTTCATCAGTTTCGTACTCTTTCGCCAAAACACTTGTATTAAAACCCGCTGCAGACAATGCTATTTTTCCTGCTGGATTGCTTGCGATAGGGGATGCTGGAGTGTTTCTGCACTTTTGCACCTTTTGCACTTAAAATTGTCTGTTTCGTGGAAACATTTGTGTAATATATAAATTAAATAGCTCACGTATACAGATCGAAAGCAGCTTACTATTCCGGCTAAATTAAAGAACAATATGGCATCACTAAAACTAAATTTGTAAGTCTAAAGCCCGCTGCAGACGATGCTATTTTTCCTGCTGGATTGCTTGCGATTTACTAAGGGAGCTTTCCAGCAAGCGACACAAGTCGACACAAGTGTCGTTCTGTCTTTATTATTCATTGAATGCAAAGAAAGACAGAACGACATTTGTGTCGACTTGTGTCGCTTGCTGGAAAGCTCCCAATATTACTAGGAATCCTGAGTGCTGAATGGTGCAACGATAGTAATTTATTAGATTGCAAGCAATCCAGTGGGAAAAATAGTGTATACTTAATAAAAATTAATAGTGAACAACACACATATCATATGTATGTACATACTGTACAGAGAATTATTTCGTCCTTGTCTAACAATGGCAAACAACAAAGATAAATGATGCACTGTGTTGCACAGTGTCGCCTGTGTACTACTTTGCTGGAAAGTAACTCTGGACCTACATGGTAATACAGGCCATAACCAATCACATTGGAATGCGTCTTTAGAGAGATGTGGCATTAAGCATGGAATTCAAATATCGACGATATTTGAATTTTTATGAAAAAAAAAATTATTTTGCATTCTGATCAAATTCAAACTTACATTTTATGTAATATGTATAAATAAAAATATATTTTCCTATAAGAAAAGATGGGTTTTCGCAATCCGGATCAATATTTCCTTTGAGCTAAGGACTCGCAATATAAAATGAATTATAAAATTTACATTGAGATCTTAATAGAAGTATTTTGGCGAAAGAGTACGAAATCGAATGCAAATTAAAATGAAAATTATTTAAAAATTACCGATTGTATCCCATAATGAATCATAATGTTTCTTACGCAATTCAATGTAATGCTGTGAAATGTACAGAAAGTTATATAAATATATAAAATTTATAAAATATTTTAGAAAATATTTTATTAGGTCTGTTCTTTAATTATAGCTGAACTGTTTGCTGCATTAATACTTCAAAGTTTATCTTTTTCCATTCACATTAGAAGAAGAAAGTCTGAACCAGAACATTTAGTTCATCTAGAAAGAACAAATCCATTATATAAAATTCATTGTATTCAACTAAAAACCGCATTACTTTAAAAAAGAATTTTGAAATGTTTTTTCACTTTTACTAAATGATAAAACTTTTACTGAAATATTAATAAAATGATAATGAAATCAACTGAGAGAAGTCAATTGAGAAATTTTTACTTCAATAAACTGTTATTATATTTTCAATAAAATATTTTCATCAGAGCCATGATTTTATTATATTGGACAACAATTTTATATTTCTGTGTTTGAGTTAAAATTGTTAACACCAGAGACTATGAAATACAAATAATTTTTTTAATAAGGAAAGATATTAAAAATTTTTTTAACTTTTCTACTTTTGTTAATTTTTTTAAATACTTAATTTTTAATCACCAATTTTAAAGAGAGGGTATTAATTCTATTTTTATCATTTTGATAATAAATGTATAAAAGAATAAGTTTTCTTTAAATAAAAAGGCTAAGAATTCCTTCAAAAATTTTAATTTTTTAATTACAATGAAATCATTTTATATTAGCAATGTATCCTAATATTACCCCTTACATATATTTATTTCAACGCGCAAGTCTTTGTGGTTCACAGCTCTGAAATTTTGAAAAATGTTTTGCGTTTTTACTTGTCGTTCGCTACAACACATTTAATTAAATATTCGAAGTGACGAATAATGATCTCGTCTTGTGTCGCGCAACGGTAAATTTTTTTGCATCGATCAGCACATTTTGTAAATTAGGACTGACACAGAAAGAGAGAGAAGGACTGTCGCCCTGCACATTTTTTCCTACTCCTTCCGGTAACACCACATTGGAGGCCCCAGAGGGTAGTTCGGCGCGTCTCGGTTGAAGGGCGCTTATGTCGCGAGCACGAGGGCGCGCCGAGGGCGCAGACGCGCGTCTTATGGATTTTACCCCCTCGCGTCGGGGGCGTCAGGTATCGGGTAAGGTCCTGGTGGCAGGCCCGACGAGAGCCGAAGGGGAATAGGGCGAGGGAGGGAGAGGGTGATTGTTCGCGCGGCTCCCGTCCGTGAAAGGGAGAAGGAGCGACACACGAATCAGCCGTGGAGGGAGGGGAAGGTGGCGGAGGAGGAGAAGGAGAAAGAGGAGGAGGAGGAGGAGGAGGAGGAGGAGGAGGAGGAGGAGGAGGTGGAGGAGAGGATGGGGGACCACCACCGAAACGACAGAAGCGACGGGTTGGGCCGGCTGTCTACAACGCGTGACCTGCCCGATGTCGCGGGGATGAACGAGTCCGCGCATATTCCGCTGTGTACGAATCGACGAAAGGGCTCTGACATGTGACCGGAGCCGGGGTGTGCATCGTCCCGGGGTGCGTCCGTCCGTCCGTCCGTCGGCCAGCGAGTTCCTCTGTGCGTGCGAGACACCTCCGTGGCCGACAGCCACGTGACGATCTTGGTGAGTTGCCCCTTGTTCGCCCTCTCGAAGGAATCCGGTATGTCTGTCCATGGGCGGGAGGGATGGATTTTCTGGTGGTGCTCCGGCCAAACTTTTGACGTCAAGGTGAACGGCGCGGTTCTCGTGCATACGCGAAGGGGAGAGCGGGGGAGGCGATTGAGAGAATTTTTTTTCGGTTGCTATATTTTGCCCAATCAGTTGCACGACGAACGAAATTTCCGTTTCTTGTAAGTACATAGTAATTTGTATTTAATTTATGCATGTTTTCTTTGGATCTTGCTATTTTCTTGAAAAAAATTAAAATTTGAGATTGGGATAATTGTAGGAGAAAGATGGAGGATGATTCTGAAAGACAGCTCGCAATTGTATTTAAATTAATTTCGTGATTAACATAATTCGCTCTCTTTGTA